GTCCATGTGTGGACTCCTGAGTGAAGAGTGATATCTAACCTCACGTAGCCCAGATTTTCCGAAACGTAGATTCCCTTTGTCACTTAGCACCTGTGGGAATAACCTTGGGAAATGCTAATCTAATTCCATGCACATGCACACACATGCGTGACCACACATGCACACACATATATGGGCACACACACATGCACACACCACTATGTACACACATGTGCACACACGCGCACAAGCACACGCGTGTGCACACTGCCATGCATACACACATGTGCACATGCGTGCATGCTCACACACATGCATGCACACATGTGCACACATGCATGAGCACACACACACACATACCAGTCACTGGGGCTTTTGTGTGGGGCTCTCTTGGGAGGGGTGAGCTGAGTCTGAGGGCATCTCCGCAGCCCCTCTGGACAGAGGCCGTGGGGGTGGGGCAGCCTCTCCCCGCCCAGGGTTGGCGGGGTAGGCTGTCCTTACCAGCTTTTGAGCCTCAGATGTGGTTGTCCTCCCCAGTCCACCACCGGCCCTGGAGTGGGCAGCCCTGCTGGCCGTGATGGGGTGTGTGTCCCACCGGAGGGCCAGCGGGAAGGGCATGTTGGGGCTGGAGCAATTTCTGGGAACCCTGGACTCTTGCTGACATGGGGGTTGGATGGAGTGGAGGGCCTCCCTGGGCCTGCTGCAGAGGGCAGAGGCAGAGGTGGGAGGCTGTAGGATCTGAGCACCCAAAGTGGGCCCCCTGGGGGCCTGGCCAGGAGCTGGAATGGGTGAGGGCCGAGGTTCAGGCTCACGGGGATCCTGGAGGCAGGATCCCCAGGCAGGCTGGGAGTCGGCCTGACTGTGGGCAAGTGCTATTCACGAGCCACTAAAGAGGGGGACAGCGGGGGTCTGGCCTCAGACCCCGTTCACCTTCTGTTACCTACTAGCGGTGTGACCTCAGAGAAGTGGCACAGCCTCTCTGAGCCAGTTTCCTCATCTGTGAGCTGGGAGTGGTCGTGCCCACCTGTGGCATCGCTGCAGAGATTTAGGTGATTAACGTGTGGCCACGCCTCCACGTGTCCCCCTGTCCCCCGGCCCAGCGCTCCTCCAGGACAATGTTGGGCCCGAGTGCGGGGATGTGAGGCTGGGAGGGTTCAGAACGACACAGCGGCTGTGCTGGTGGCTCTGGGCTGGTCTGCCTGGGCCTCCCTGTCCTCAGCTCTGGACCGGACATTAGTGCCCTGAGCTCTGCCTGTCTCACTAGGGTGAAGAAAGGGAACACCCTATGCCTTTGCAAGGTAAGCGCTATCTTGTGGCCCCTCAGTAAAAAGCCTATTGCTAATGAAGGATAACTAACTTCCATTCACCCGTTCTCTGGCCGTGCGGGGCGGCAGAAAGCCCTGCGTTCCAAGAGGTGATGCGTCAGGCCTGTGGTGTCTCCAGGGCAGCCTGGCCTCCAGGGACCAGCTTCCCGGCTCGGGGTGGACGTGCTGTGGCAGCTGGGACATGGGGTCTGGGTGACTCGGGCTCAGGGCTCCAGAGACCCTGCCCTCGTAGTCCGGGCTGCCGGTGGCCCCTGGAGTCCCCACTCTGAGTTGCTCTCTGTTTCCGGCCCCGAGGAACGTTGCACTCTCCTCAGGAAGTTCTCCAAGAGGCCAGCAGGGCCTGAACCCTGCTGACCGGACACGGCTGGATTAAGCCCCTCTGGCAGCGCACACGCCGAACGCACCACCTCCCGCGGAGTTGGGGTCCGCGACAGCTCGCTGTGTGTTCCAACACCGTGTCCCCTTCGGGCAGCGCTGGGCACATGTGGTCTCCGCGGTCGCACACCCTGGACATGGGGCAGCAGACCACGCTGCGTCTGCACCGCAGGGCCGTTGTGGACAGGCCGTCTCTCAGCAGCGCCCGCAGGGCAGAGTGGCAGAGGACGGGGCCCCGGGGGGCCTGAGGGCCTTGGGGAGCTGGTCACTCTCTGAATTTGACCTGGGGGCCAGCGCTTGGCGGGTGGAGAGTCACAGAGCTGCCTGCCCTGAAGCTGTGTACTTTCCCATGCGTACACTTTGCTTTAATGTGTGAGTGCCTGTTCAACTCTTTTGCGATCCCATGGACTGCAGCCCACCAGGCTCCTTGGTCCATGGGATTCTCCAGGCAGGAATACTAAAGTGGGTTGCCATTTCCTCCTCCAGGGGATCTTCCTGACCCAGGGTTCAAATCCGTGTCTCCTGCATTGAAGGCGGTTCTTTACCACGGAGCCACCTGGGAAGCCCTTGCTTTAATGGCAGTTCACCAATTAAGCTTGTATTGACTTCAAATCTGCAGTTTGACCTCACGTTTTGGAGGCTCCAGACCCAGAGCATCAACAGTCTGGGCCCCAGAGAGGTTGTCTTCTCCGCCCCCGCCCCCCGGAGCTGAGGCCCTGCCCTCCTCCCGGCCTTGCTGACTGTCCCCAACTGAGGGATGACTTAGGGCTCAGAGTCATGGGCTCAGAAAGGTCACCGCCCTCCCAGGCTGGAAAGGGTCCTCTCTCCAGCCTGCCCTAAGCCCTCCCAGGCCCCTCCAGCCGGGGAACCCACAGCCGCGAGTCCCGCCACCACTTGGGGCTTCCGCCCTGTGACTCAGGAGGTTCCCTGTGTCTGTCCTATCGCTCATGAGCCTCTTGGGGCGGGGCCCCAGCCCGTCCTGCAGGACCCGGGGAGAACAGGCCTTCAGGAAATGCGAGCTCCTCTTTCAGCCCCGAGGTCCCTTCCCAGGGGCCTTCCTGGACGTGCTTCCCTGGACAACCTGTGTGATGTTGGGTGCGCCTGTCCTCTCCCGAAGGGGACTTATCTGTAAGATAAGGCCAGCACACCAGTCTGGACCTCAGAGTCCTGTCTTGCACAGGGAGGCGTGAGTGGCCCCTGGGGCCTCAGCGGCTCCCCCAGTAATCCACTGCTCGACAATGTTCAAAGAAACGCCAGCAATTTATTGATTTCCTATATTTCCAAAAAAGCAAACACACAGTGTACCCCACAGGAAACGGGCCTGGCCAGTGCCCGGTTCTTCCAGACACGGCAGGGGGGGAGCAGGCTGCAAAGGGATCCCCCTTTCCCTCCCATGCCCCCAGCTCCGCTTGGCCCCGGGCAGACAGGAGCAGCTCCGCGTCCGGTCCGGGAGCGGTCTGCGCTGCTGGGCAGGGCCCACCAGGTGGGTCTGGCAGCCAGTGGCCTGTCCGCCGTAAGCCCTGGGTCGGGGCTGCACAGGGAGACCCTCGTGGCCTGGGCCCGCCCCCACCGGACCATCCTGTTTCGGGTGTCGAGCCCGGCAGCGTGAGGCCAACACATCCTTCCAGCCCAAGCTGGGCCCACAGACCCCGAGCTCCTTCTCTAGAGCTTCATCCACAGCACCACCCACCCTGCAAAGGTCTGCCTCTTCCAAGCCTGGCCAGCCGGCAGCAGAAGTCACGAGATGGCTAAACCAGGCCTGGCCTGACTGTCCACCCGACCTACTGAAACGCCACCCTCTGGCAGAGGCGGGGGCCCTCCCCAGCACGGCCACAGACCCGCTGGTCCTCAGCTACTTCCCTCTAGCCCTGACTGGACTGAGCGGCTCTCTCTCCCTGGAGCCCCTAAAGCCGGGGACCCCTAAAGCTAGGGACCCCGGAGCCCCTCTTTCCTCCAGGAGAACATGGGCCATGTGGATGGGGTGTGGTCTCTCGTCACCGATGTATCCTGAGGGCTGACAACACGGCCTGGCTCCTCGCGTGTTTCTTGGAGAAACAAACTCCCCTAGGGCCCTGCGAGTGGCAGAGGGAACGGTCTTCTGGGACCAGCTCCCCACGGGCCTGTGAGGGAGGCGGGCCTGCACCACGGGGGACGGGGCGGACGTGGCACAGACCCCAGCAGCAGAGACCCACGCGGCTGCGTGGCGGGCCATCACGGGTCTGCACCCGACCTGGCCAGTCCAGCTGTCCTCTGCGGCGGGGGGGGTCCTCGGGGCTGGGGTCTGACTGCCGGGGTGAGCAGTGGGGCTGGACGGGGGGCAGGGGGGGGACACGCGGCAGGAGGAGGTGGGAGGTGGGCAAGGCCAGGCGGCCAGTCCCCACTGATCGCCGCTGGCACCGCTGGGCAGGGGGGCTGTGGCCAGGCGGCGCTGTGTCCTGCCCAGTCTCAGCCCGCAGATGGGGGGCTCTTGCCAAGCCCTCTCCGGGGCCTGCTCTATGCTCATGTGAGTCTGGGGGTCTGGGAGCCACTGCCCCTGGCGGGCTTCTCACCACCCTCTCTGCCGTTGTCACGGGCAGCTGGGCGTCAGGGAAGGCGGGGCGGCCTCTGGCTGATCCCTGACACAACAGCTCCCTTTCCTAGCCAAGCGCCCTCCTCCGAAACCCTGCCTCGCTGGGGTCTCGGCGGGTCTCAGGACCCACGGGTCAACCCCTGGCCTACGCGGGCCAGCTCCTCTCCTGGGAATCCGAGGATGGAGCCGCCGCTCTCCCACCACTCTGCCTCCTTCCCCCCAACATGTGGATTACTCGCCCCTGCAGAGGAGGGCTCCCAGGTGAGCCCGCTCTGATGGGACACAGCCCGCGGGAGCGGTCGGCGCCCCCGGCACCTACTCTCCGGAAAGACTGCACACAGCAAAGACAGCCTGCCTGTCCTGGCCCACCCAGCGGACCCCACGGCCGCCCAGCCCTGGCCCCAGGCCCTGCGGGAGGGCCGCTCGGCCACGCCAGATTTCCCAGGAGATACACTGAGCCCCGCCAACCTCCCTTCCTGCAAAGCCGCCTCTTGGGGTGGGTGGAGGGATGAGCCCCAGTCACTCCCCCGCCCTGACTCTGCAGGACTCCCCGTGGGCCTGGTGCTGGCGAGGCCGCGGCACCCACACTTTGGGATGACGGGGAGCGAAACCCCAAGCACAGTCACCCGCATCTGTGAGAGTGAGTCCCGCCACCACCGTGAGCTCAGCCTGCAGTTCCCCCAGTCCTGCAGTTCCAGGGCCTGCCTTCCACACACACGCACGCACACGCATGCGTGCACTCACACACACACTATACATGTGTATATATGCCGTTCCTCAGAGAAAGAAGTATTAACATCAAGACATAAGCTCCCTTAACTCAAGAAAGCCCCCCCTGCTCCCCTCCCCCACCCCCACTGCCTGTCAGTTCCCCCAAGGAAAAGAAAGAATCTAAAAATATTTTCATCCACCGCAGCGTCCCTGCGTGCTCTCAGCTGGCTTTGAACACCTCCAAACGCTGTGCAGGTGGACAGACGTGCCTGCAGTAAGGCCCGGGTCTACTCCGCTGGTCGGATCACGTCTGGAAAAGGAGAAGACCCCCAGTGAGCACCCAGTCTCACCAGCGGTCCCCTCCCAGTGCGCCCACGCCTGGGGTCAGGGCCGCGCCTGAGACATTCACAGGGTGCCTGCATCGGATGAGAGCCCCCCACGCCCATGTGTCCACCCCATCGGATCAGAGCCCCCCACGCCCACGTGTCCACCCCGGCGGCAGACTGTGAGTGTCAGGCGCCTGCTGGCTGGTCTCTGCTCTGTGTCCATCCTTGTGCTGTTGGGATGCATTTGCTGCTGGGGGGGAGGTTCTGAGGTCTGAGGGCACCTTCGTCTGGATTGAAGTTGTGGCCCCTGCCTCACCAGCACGCCCTGGGCCACTGGGGCACCCAGAGGTCCCTTCAACTCAGAAGGCCCTGTCCTCATACCTAGCTCTCTGCAGGTGGGGCCACCTCTGCTGACCCTCCAGGGCTGACCAGGCCAATCTGAGCATCAAAACGTGGCCCTAATCCCATGGGATGTTTGTTTAAAATGTATTTTCCTAGACCTCATGTCCATTGAGTCAGTAATGCCCTAGACTGTGCCTGGCAGTTCTGGCCAGACCTCTGGCCTGTTGATACTACCAGTCCATCCTAAAGGAAATCCGTCCTGAATACTGACTGGAAGGACTGATGCTGAAGCTGAAGCTCCAGTACTTTGGCCACCTGATGTGAAGAACTGACTCATCAGAAAAGACCCTGATGCTGGGAAAGACTGAAGGCAGGAGGAGAAGGGAACCACAGAGGATAAGATGGTTGGATGGCATTACTGACTCAATGGACATGAGTTTAAGTAAACTCCGTGAGTTCATGATGCACATGGAGGCCAGGCATGCTGCAGTCCGTGGGGTCTCCGAGTCGGACACAACTGAGTGACTGAACTAAACTGAACTGAACTGAATGTCCTGTGTGGGACAGTCACTGTCCAGGCAGTCGACATGGCAGTCCTCACAGACCTTACGTCAGCCAGACCGGAGCCTGCTTCTATGTCCCTGGGGAGCAGGGCCGGGCCCCTCTCTCTGAGGCTGGCCAGGACTGCGGCAGGGGGCCTGGAGGTGCCCCCGCCCCAGAGGGGGCGATTCTCACCTGCAAGCTGAACGCGGGCGGGCGGCCCGTCTCAGAATCGGGAGGTGAAGTTCCTGAGGCTGTTGGCCCCGGCTAAGGTCCCCAGCATGCTCCTATCAAAACCTTGCTGCGGGAGAGACAGCAGCTGCGTGAGACACCGGGGGCAGGCGCCACGGGCGTCCCCACACTCAGAGGCTGCCCCCAGCACGCTTCCTTGACGGCCCTGCCCACCACACCTCCTCAGCCTGGGGCAGAGGTCAGCCCTGGGACCGCGTCACGAGGGGCCGGCCTCTCCCTCCCGCGGCAGAGCCAGGCAGCGTGGGCGAGCGCGCCGGCAGGGCCAGGCGGGGTGAGGCCTTACCTGCCTGAGGAGCCCCTGCAGCTCCCTGCTGGACCACATGTCGGATAGGAGGAGGCGGGCGGCCTCCGCAGCCTTGGGGGAGGTGCTGTGGGGCGGGAGTTCACCGGCGCTGAGACTGGCCGCCTGAGGATGAGCCAACCCTCTGCCCGCCCCCTCACTCCTCCTGGGGCAGCCCCGCTGGTGGGCACTCCTCGCAGTGGCACACCCCGCAGCTCTGCCCACTCAGAGGCACCCGGGGCCCTCTCTGGGGCTCCCTTCCTGTCCCTTGGCCTTGTCCTGGGATGACGGAGCTCCGTGGACCACATAAGTCCTGCCCAGCTGGGCCTGCTGCTGCTGCCGCCTCCTGCTGGCCCACGGCACTCAGCGTCCCCTGTTCCTGGCTAGGACGCGTGCCCAGGGTCTGAGAGTGAGGCCTCAGCTTCTGGAACCTCCCTCCTTCGGGCCTCCCCGCCAACTCCCACTCTGCAGGGCCCCGCCACCCTCCACACTGCCTGCTGCAAGTTCCCCCACCTGCAGTCCCCCCACCTATAGTTCCCTCACCTATGGTTCCCCCACCTGGAGTTCCCCCACCTGGAGTTCCCCCACCTATAGTTCCCCCACCTATAGTTCCCCCACCTGCAGTTCCCCCACCTGCAGTTCCCCCACCTATAGTCCCCTCACCTATGGTTCCCCCACCTGGAGTTCCCCCCGCTGCAGTCCCCCCACCTATAGTCCCCTCACCTACGGTTCCCCCACCTGCAGCTCCCCCCGCGGCTCCCTACCTGCTGCGGCACAGGTTGATGACGTTGTTGATCATGCTGCTGGAAAAGTGCTGCTTGGCCACGCCTGGCAGGGAGGCCATCAGGTTCCTCACGGTGTAGCAGGCCGAGGCCAGGATGTCCTCCGAGTTGCTGGTGTTGCCGGTGTGACTGGTGAGGAGTCTGGTCACCTCTGGGAACACTTGGGTCCCTGGGAGAGAAAGGAGGGGCGGGAACGGGGTCGGTGACCGAGGGGTCCCGTGAGGCCCAGTCCGAGGCTGCCCTCAGCCAGGCTCCCAGCCAGGTACCTCCCACTCAAGGCTGGTGGCCCGATGGAACCTACGCACCTGCTCCCCACCCAGGTGACCTGCCCCTTCCTATGCCCAAGCCGCTCTTGGGCCAGCTTCCCCTTCCAGGATGCTCCCCCAGGGAGAGGTCAGAGGGGGACTTCCCAGCAGGCTCTGGAGAGTGGGGTCCCTCCCGCAGGGGGTGCTCACCCATCACCCTGTGCAGCGCGGGGTGGCGGGACATGTTGCTCAGCAGCGAGGCTCCGGACCGCACCACATCCGAGTTGCCGGACTGCAGCAGGCGGGCGATGTGGGGCAGGCCCTTCTCCTTCAGCCCGATCAGCTGGCTCATGCCGCTGGACATCTGGGAAAGAGGACGAGCGAGGCCCTTGCTGGGCTTCCCCGGGCCCACGGCAGGCAGGAGGGGGCCAGGAACCCTGCCCTCAGGGACCCCAGAACTTCCTCTTCCGTGTTGGAAGCAGACAGACTCACGTTTGCTCCCACCTGGGCGACTGCAGAACAGTCCCCCAGGCAAACGCACCTGCAGCTCGCTGGGGGCAGCCTGAGCCCAGTGGGTCTGGTGAGGGGCATCCCTGCCCCTCGTCCCCCGTGGGAGGGGCCCAGAATCAACTCCCAGGTGTGACCGGTTCTCGTGGCTGCTGCCCGGCCTCCCTCCCGCTTCCCAGCTCTCTGGTTGCCTGAAGCCTGGAGTCGAGGGTCCCTGCCACCTAAGGAAGGGCTGCCCGTCTCCTGCCGGCTTGCTGCCTCTGCGCTGAGTGTTGGGTCGAGGGTGGATGAATGGGCCTGTGCAGCTTGGAGACGCAACCCGGGGTCCCCGAGAGGACCAGCAGCCCATCAGGCCCCTGGCGGGGAAGCCACGCTGGCCGTGACCTGGTCCAGGCCCATCTTCTAACAGTGGGGGGTCCTCTTTGACCCTGAGCGCACCCTCACACCCTCCTGCTCGACTCTCTTCTGTCCTGAGCAGAGAGGGCGGAGGGGCAGCTGCAGACCTGCCTCCTACCTCCCCCAATTCCACCATGTCCTCAGACTGCCTCTGGCCTCAATGATTTCCCAATTCCGCCACACTTTTCTCGGGACCTGCCCACACCCCAAACCCTCCACGTCCACCTCTGTCCGCTCAGCACGCAGCAGACCCTTCACAGCCTCACCCAGTCCGGGCCGGGAGCCAGGAGGCAGAGGGGACCCTATGGCACAGACAGGGTGCCGGCCCCTCAGCTGCCCCGTGCCTGGCCTGGAGCCCAGTGCACATCCCTCCCTGACTCAGGCAGGCTGGTGGAAGGGGCAGCCGGGCTCAGACCAGGGAGGAGAGGCAGGTGGGGCGAGGCGGGGGTGCTCACCAGCCCTTTGCTGGCAGTCAGGTTCTGCAGGGCACCCGCGCAGGCCTCCAGGGTGGCGTCCTTCTTGCTCTTGCCCATGAGGTTCAGGTAGGTGCGGATGGCATCTGAGTGGTACAGCCAGCTGCTGCCCTTGGGGTTGGGCTCTTCCTCGGGAAGTGGGCAGTCATAGTTGTTGTTCTGGGGACAAGAGGAAGGTCGCGGGGCTGAACCCATGCACCCTGCTCCTCCGGCCTCAGAGTCGTGGTTCCCGGAGGAGGGTGTGCCCGCTGCCCCGTCCCCCAGGCCCTCTGCCCTCTCAGTGGGCACAGAGCCGTCTCTGCGCTCCCGGCCAGCTGGGCCCCCGCCTCCACGGTGAGGCTGTGGCTCTCACATGGGGATGCCTCCCTCACTCCCCAGGCCAGCAGGGGTGGCCCAGGGCCCAGCTTGCATGGCCTGCCCAGAGGAGGTGGCCAGCCCTTCCTTCCCAGCATCTCTCTGCTTCTAGGAGCCCTGGGAGCTCAGGAGGCGGTGGGCACCAGGCTGACCCCCACCATCAGGACCGAGGGAGATGACAGGGGAGAGGAGGCCTGCCCGCAGGCGGCCTCGGCTCCATCCCCGCGAGCACGCAGGGCCTGTGTCGTGGGGGAGATGAGGCGCTCCCCGCTCCTGGTGCAGTGGGGCCCATGGCCAGGCGGGGCAGGGCCCCTCCCTGGGGGCCGGTCTCGGGCTCCGCAGGTGGGCGGGTGGACGGGGCCGCGGGGGCCGCGGGCACTCACCGTCATGCGGTCGCTCTTGTTGCTGAAGCAGCCGGTGGAGGACTTGTCGGTGTAGGCGTTGCGGGCGGTGTACTCCAGCTGGCGGTAGCGCGTGGGCACCTCGGCGTCCAGGCGGTAGGAGAGGTTGTGGAGGACGCACATGCAGTTCTCCATGGACTGGGGGCCGAGCAGAGCCAGCCTGAGCCTCCGCCCGCCCCTGAGCACCGGGCCTGGCCGGGGAAGGCCCCCACCCAGCTGCCCGGGACTGTGCGTGCGGCCCTGCCCCCGTGGCTGTGTGAGCACCAGTGACCCGCCCGCCCCTCCTGGGCCTCAGCTTCCTCAGCTCTGAAATGGGACCAAAGTTGCCTGCTTCCTGGGGCTCCCGGGGAGATGACCCCCCAGGAGGCACCTACGGGAGGCCTGGTTGGCAGCAGGCACAGGCCGCGACCACCGTCCCCGCTGCCCCGGCAGTGTACCCATGGCCGGCCTGGCTTTGGAGACAGCCTGCAAGAGCGACCCTGAACTCCTCCTCAAAGCCTTTGAGTCCCAGGACCTCCCCGCCCGAAAGGTTTCCCTCCTTCCTGGGGCCTCATATGCTTCCCTCTTCTATTCGGTCCTCCTCTCTCCCCTCCTTCCTCTCCCACCACGCCCTCAACCTGTCCTCGTGACCTCCGCCCCCTTCCCATGACCTTCACCTTCTCACTGTGACCTCCACCCCTCCCCGTGTCCTCCGCCCCTCCCCGGTGCCCTGGAGACGGCTCTCTCCTGAGGCCTGTGGTCACAGCTGACGGAGGAGCAGGAGGCAGAGTCCTCTCCAGGGAAAGTGCGCGTGGGACCCAGGGGTAGCGATGCCCGGCCAGCCCCTGGGGACGGCTCTCTCCTCCGGCCGTGTGGGCAGACTGCAGCCTCTGTGCCCCTTCCCACCACCGTCGGCCCTTCTGCCCGTCTGCGCAGGTGTGCGGTGTGGGTGGGCACGCGGCTCTGGGGCCACACTCACCTTGTCGTCACAGCGGTTGGCCGCCACGCAGTTCTGGACGTAGGCCATGAGCGAGTCGATGAGCCCCATGTAGTTGCGCATGGTCTGGCGGCCAGCATCTGCGGAGCTCAAGTTCCTAGTGGAGGTCACAAGGAAGGGCGGAGGTCACGGGGAGGGGGCAGAGGTCACAGGAGGGGCAGAAGTCACGGGGAGGTGCAGAGGTCATGGGGGATGGAGGTCATAGGGATGGGGTGGAAGTCACAGGGTGGGGTGGAGGTCATGTGGAGAGGGCAGAGGTCATGGGGAGGGCAGAGGTCATGGGGAGAGGGTGGAGGTCATAGGGAGGGGTAGGGGTCACAGGAAGGGAGTGGAGAATATGGGGAGGGTGCAGGTCATGGGGGGGGCAGAGGTCACAGGGAGAAGGTGAAGGTCATGGGGAGAGGGGTAGGGGTCACAGGAAGGGAGTGGAGGATACGGGAGGGTGGAGGTCATGGGGAGGGGGCAGAGGTCACAGGGAGAAGGTGAAGGTCATGGGGAGAGGGGTAGGGGTCACAGGAAGGGAGTGGAGGATACGGGAGGGTGGAGGTCATGGGGAGGGGGCAGAGGTCACAGGGAGGGGTAGAGGCCATGGGGGTGGAGGTATGGGGAGGGGCGGAGGTCACGGGGAGGGGTCGGAGGTTGTGGTGGGACAGGAGGGTGGGGAGAGAGGACAGAAATTGAGGGAAGCAGATGAGGACCGGGCTCTTCTCAGGCCTGGCTGAGGCCGGGCTAGGGTCTCCCTGGCCTCCTCCGCCCTCCTCTGTGCCCGCCGGGCTCCATGCCCGGAGCTGCTATGTGTCCCGGGCTCTGATGCCGCTGGCAGCCTGGCACACACTGGACCCTCGTGGCACGTTCTGGGCAGGGCCCGGGGCTCCACCCGCCTGGCCCTGCCTGGGGCTGCTGGCCAGGGGCCTGGAGGCTCCCTGGGGGCGGTGTCCTGCCCCCAGCACGGGGCTCAGCCCCGGGCTGCCTGGGCGCCCCGCCTGGCACAGGTGGGCTTTGACTGCGGCTGCCCCGTTAAGGCCCCCATGACCCTGGCTCTGCACCTCCCCAGAGGCTGCTGCTAGAGGGAGGTGTGACCCTGAGTGCGGTCTGCTCCTCGGCCGCACCCGCCACCCCCACCCTAGAGGAGAGTCCCACCCCCTGCAGCCCCCAGGGCCTTTGCCAAGGGCTGGGGCGAAACCCAGGAAGTCCTGGCCAAAGCAGTGCCCTCCTCATGCCAGGGAACACGGCAGATGCTGTTAGCGTCACAGCCAGGAGGTGACGCACTGGGGCGTCGGTACATGAGCATCCCAAAGACGCCCCTCAGGAGTGCAACAGCCAGGCCTGTGCGGAGCAGCGGGCGGCCGGCGGAGCCTGTTCAGACATTCAGACCCACGCGTCTCCACTCAGACTCCTGGCTCAGGCCCCCCTGGTGCAGGTGGGGGGTCCCAAGCCTCGTCCAGGCCCTCGCCCCCGGCCCCTCTGAGCCTGGGCTCAGCCGGCTGGACCCCGCCTCACCTCAGGCAGCCGGTGGCATTGAAGAAGACCTCAGGGTCCACGGGTTCCCGGGGCAGGTTGCTGTTGCCGTCGCACCAGCCCGAGAAGGGGACGATGACGCGGTCAGCCAGCACGGGCAGCGCCTCAGCGATCAGCTCCTCCTTCAGCTCGTCGGTGGAGGACAGGTTCCAGAGCAGCCCTGGGGGACCGCGGGCTCAGCAGGACCAGGGCCCAGGGCCGCCCCGCTGGACCCCGCCCCCGCTGGACCCCGCCTCTGCTGAACCCAGCCCGCTGGACCCCGCCCCCGCTGGACCCCGCCTCTGCTGAACCCAGCCCGCTGGACCCCGCCCCCGCTGGACCCCGCCTCTGCTGAACCCAGCCCGCTGGACCCCGCCCCCGCTGGACCCCGCCTCTGCTGAACCCAGCCCGCTGGACCCCGCCCCCGCTGGACCCCGCCTCTGCTGAACCCAGCCCGCTGGACCCCGCCCCCGCTGGACCCCGCCTCTGCTGAACCCAGCCCGCTGGACCCCGCCCCCGCTGGACCCCGCCTCTGCTGAACCCAGCCCGCTGGACCCCGCCCCCGCTGGACCCCGCCTCTGCTGAACCCAGCCCGCTGGACCCCGCCCCCGCTGGACCCCGCCTCTGCTGAACCCAGCCCGCTGGACCCCGCCCCCGCTGGACCCCGCCTCCGCTGANAGAGAGAGAGAGAGAGAGAATCAGAGGGTAGGGCTGAAGCTGAAGGGGAGGAAGCCGTCCTCTCCGTAGTGAATTTGAGGAGGGGCTCCCTTTGAGCCCGTGGCTGTCACTCCAGGGTCTCTTCTACGACCACCGGCTGAGTGGGGTCCCCTGCAGACAGCCCCCCTGACCTTGGGCATGCCGGGCACACTCCCAGCCTTGGGCAGCTGGGCAGGGGGATGAGGAGCCAACAGCAAATGCCTCCCCACCCCCCCCAGCTTGGAGCAGGCTCAGGCAGCCCCCCAGCCACTGACCTGCTGCTTGGCAGCCTCGTCCTGGAAGCAGGTGTGCTGGATGTAGTAGGCCCCGATGGCCTGGCACTTCTCGTCCTGGGAGCTCAGGTACTGCACAGCTTTGGGGATGGTCAGCCCGCTGCACTCAATGTCCTCACTGCAGATCCTGTGGGCATGGGTGGGCCAGAGGGTTTCAGGGGCTCAGGGTCCCTGTGCCCGCCCCAGAGCTGGAAGGGGCTGGCCCCGCTCCCACGGTGGATAGCTCCCCCAGAGCAGCGGATGGCTCACCCTGCAGCGAGCATTTGCAGGGATGAGACCCTGGTCACCGGTCATGTCCAAGCGGACAAGTCACCTCTGTGCTGAGAAGAAGCTCTGCCCTACTCCTGAGGGGAAGCACCCACCCCCCCCTGCCATCTCTCACGTGTGTGCCTGGTGCTGGGAAAACAGAGGAGAATGCTGGGAGCCTGTGCATCTGTCTGCACCCCTCCATCACCCCTCCTCCCGCCCTCCACCCATCCATCCCCCATCTTCCTCTCCTGCATCCCTCCATCAACCATCATCCATCACCCATCTTCCCTCAATCTATTGTCCATCTTCCCTCCATCCATCCATCAGGCATCCATCCACTGTCCATGTTCCCTCAATCTATTGTCCATCCTCCATTCATCCCTCCATCCATCCATTATCCATCATCCATCATCAATCTTCCCTCCATCAACTGTCCATCTTCCCTCCACCCATCCATCCCCCCATCTTCCTCTCCTGCATCAGTCATCCATCTTCCTGCAATCTGCTGTCCATCTTCCATCCATCCCTCCATCCATCATCCATCCATCTATCATCCATTTTCCCTCTATCCCTTCATCCATTCATCTAGCCATCCACCCCTGCGTCCCTCTCTTCCTCCTCCCTCCATTTCCAAGTCAAGCTGATTTTTCTAACACAAACATTCTCACACTTGCTCCTCCTCCCATCCTCACGGCCACTGCCTTCCTTCTGACCACAGTCACTCTCACTGGGATGACAGCAAGACCCACCCCCAGTGGCTGTCTTCTCCGAGCACTCAGGCCCACCCGAAGTGTAACACCCGTTCCCAGATGAGTGGTTGACACCCTGTTTGCTGAGCTGTCCCCATCAGCAGCTTCTCCATACTGTAAGTTCAAGTTCAGACTCGAACTGAGACTGATACCCAAGGGCATGCGTTAGGTCGAACCATACAAAATGGCCAATAACCCACATTTTTGTAGCCACAGAACTAGAACCATCCTGTTCTAACCCAACAGTCTGGTTCTGCCACGACTCACACACTCCCAGCCTGAACTCGTGTCTGCTCCAGCAAGACTGAACTCCACGCTGCACCCTGATCAGGCCTGGGTGCCTCTGTCCCTTCCCTTCACTGCAGACCCACGGCTGGGAGCCCCCCTGGGAAAAGGAGGCCTCCTTCCAGGACCTGCTCCAGCTCCCACAGTGCTGACGGCAGGCCGCGTTCCTGGCCTCTGGTTCCCACAGACAGCTGGGCAGCCTCTTCCTGGCCCCAGGCCTCTCCCCTAGAAATCCTCCCAGCATTTCTAGAACAGCCCATGCCTCGTGAGTCCCAGCCTCATGCCCGTCCACTGCAGGCGCCCGACTCCGTTTCTGGAAAGACCGCCTCCAGAGAGGAGCTCCTGGACCTCCATCAGTGGTACCCGCCCAACATTGGCAGAACACCGCCCAACATCTGCAGGGCAGACCTCACCTCCACAAGGCCTGCCACTCATGTCCGATCCTGTCCTCTTGGGGCCTCCAGTTTGGGGAAATGAGGCGGGGCCAGATGAGGCCCTGGTCCGTCTCCAAGGGAGACATTCTCTCAGTCCTTCTCCAAAGACTCCTAAGTACCCATGTGGCCTCCAGGCAGCCATCAGAGGGCCAGCTCCATAACGCCCAGGACAGCGGTGAGCAGAGGAGGGCGTGGCAGCAGCGTGGCCTTGGGCGAGCTACCTGGCACCTCTGAGCCCGTCTCTCCCCAGGTCCTAGCCTGGAAGGGCTCTGGGGATCAGACACGAAGACTGCAGTGCCCCCAGGCCCTGCGGAAGGCAGTTAACCCCACAGCTGCAGGCAGCCCCGGCTGTTCAGTCCATGCCGTCTCCCTGCTCTGCCCATCCACGCTCAGCAGATGTCAAGGAAATGCGTACAGGACTCTGGTGGGGACCAAGTGCAGCTCTGAGGTTCATGGGGCCCAAGGGCGACCCTCGAGACCCAGGGGCCGTAACCAAGCTGGCCTGTGCCCAATGCTCTCTACGGGCCCCGGCGGCTGTCCCCAAGCTGGCCTGTGCCCAAGGCTCTCTAAGGGCACCGGCGGCCATCCCCAAGGCTCTCTACGGGCCTCAGTGGCCGTCCCCAGGGCTCTCCACGGGCACTGCCCCCTGTGCTGGATCCTACTGGCTTCTGTCCTCTGCCCTGTAAGACGGACCCCACCTCTTTCTCGTCATCGACCCTGGGGCACATTCCTTTGCTCTTTCAGAAGGTGGGGAGAGCATTAACCCCCAAGCCCAGGGAGTCTCAAGCCCCGACAGAGTCTGCACTGCCTGCAGGCTGGTGAGGCATGCTGCAGGCCCAACAGGGTCCCTGAGTCGGAGGTCTAGGCAGCCTGCCGAGGAGCTTTCCTCAAAAGCTTCCTGGCATCCTTTGCTCTTTCAGAAGGTGGGGAGAGCATTAACCCCCAAGCCCAGGGAGTCTCAAGCCCCGACAGAGTCTGCACTGCCTGCAGGCTGGTGAGACATGCTGCAGGCCCAACAGGGTCCCTGAGTCGGAGGTCTAGGCAGCCTGCCGAGGAGCTTTCCTCAAAAGCTTCCTGGCGACGCCGAGGCTGGTGGTCAGAGGCACACACTTTGAGAATCACTGGCCCAGCCAGCCCCTCACTTCCCTACTCCCCCGTTCATCACCCGAGACCCCTTAAAATCAACCCACACACTTGATGCCTCTGTTCGGGGTCCGGATTCTGCCTCCCCCTGCAGGCTGAGCAGCCCGGGCCAGCAGTCGGTCCCCCGCGGCCCTGCCCGCCCCTCGCCGTGGGTACTCACTTGGAGCTGGCCCTGGAGTGGCTGAAGGACAGGTCCTTGGTGCAGGAGGTGGGCGGGACGCACACGGGGTCCTGCTTGGAGGTGCAGGAGGGCGGGCGCCCCGGGCACTTCTTGGCTGCCTTCTGGCCGCTGCACGTGCTGTAGAAGCTGTAGCGGTTCTGGGTGGTCTTGTGGCCCTTGCTGCCCAGCGTGCCCTTGCGTAGGGTGCCCCGGGGGTCGCAGTAGAGGTCGGGCTCGCTGCGGCTGGCCTTGATCTTCTGCATGAAGCAGATGTCGCTGCCGGCGCCCGGCGCGGTGCAGCTGCCCCGCGGGTACTGCCGGCCCCAGCTCTCCATCTGGCTGTAGGAGCTGAAGCGCCTGCTGTCACCCTCCCGCTGGAGGGTCCCATTGTAGATCTGGGGGAGAAGGGGAGGGAGGCTCAGCCGGGGTCCCCACCCGGGGTCCAGCCCCCCGCCACCCCCGTGGTGACGCTCAGAGGGTCCTGGGACGTCTGGTGAGGGGGGAACCTTGACCAGCCTCTCATAGACAGCTTCGCAAACTGCAGGTTGTGACACCTTATGGATTAGGAAATCAATTTAGCAGACTGTGACCATCATTTTTTTTTTAATGGGATCAAATAATATATATTGGAATTAGAAAATATGAGTGCAGGACATGTAGAAAGGGCTGGGCTGTGTGTCAAGCGTATGGCTTACTGTGGCTTGTAGCCAGAAAAGGTTAGACAGCCGCTGACGGTCCCAGTGGGCCGGGTCCAGAGGGGAGCTGGTGGCTCAAGGAGGTGAGGGGCTTTCCCACGGAGGGAAGTGCAACCGTGGGGCTTGAACCCAAGTCCCCGGCCGCAGCCCTGCCCTATGTCCTGTGCAGACGTCCCCAGCTCCCGAGATCACCTGTGCTCCGCGGGGGACTGCTCCCACCCTGAAAGGACTCTCCCATTGTCGTTTCTCTGCTAAACTCCTCATCTTGCCCCCCGCCGACCAGGGCGGAAGGCATTCTGGGAAACCCCTCCAAGGCCAAAACAGGGTATCCTGCTCCTGGGCCCCCAGCGCCCCCGAGGCAGGCCCGGGCTGCAGCGGGCACAGGGTGGCCAGGGCTGTGCCATCAGAAGGGCATCAAGGGAGCGGCGGGCAAGGCTCAACCGAACCGCAAACTTGGAGGACAGCGAGTTGCCCCCAGGGCTCCGTGTGAGCCCAGTGGGGAGTCTGGCGCCCTGGGAAGAGCCTGCAGAGCCGGAGGCTCGAAGAGCGAGGCCCTCACAGAGCCGAGCAGCCAACCGCCGGCCTGCCGGCTCTGACTCGCCGGCAGTGGGACCAGAGGACCCACGCGAACCGGAGAAAATGCATGCACCAGGGGCCAACTCGCCCTCGGCTTTGCTGGGGTGAGCTGGGGCCCAGAGCCTGCCTGCCCCACCCTGTGAGTGAATATGAGTGTGTGTGTGTGCGTGTACGCGTGCACACACGCGCCCACGCAGAAGGGTGTGGTCGGGCAGCCGGCTGAGCCCCCTCCACCCCAGCTCCAGCCACTAGCCCTCGGCCAGGCCCCCCTCGCCCCGCACGGAGAGCCTTTGGGGCAGGAAGCCACTGTGGTCAAGCTCCGGTCAGCGGTGACGCCAGCTCAGAAGCCCCCGTCACCCTGGCAACGGTGCTCGGGTGCTCACCCAGACAGGCGCAGCGCTCGCCCCTAGACTGGGTCATACCAGCCAAGCCCAAAGGTGTGTGGGGCAGGCAAGGCGCAAAGGGACCAGAAGGGACGGCGGTCAGTGGGGCGGGCTGCCGTCTGTGTGTCTGCAGTTGGCACACGCGCGGCGCACCGGAGACTCGCGGAGCGCACCGGAGACACGTGGAGCGCACCGGAGACTCGCGGACGGTGAGAGACAGGAAGCCGGCCCCCACGCTGCAGGCCAGAGGCCACACCCCCTCCTCAGGGGAGGAAGCCGAAGGCAGCACCTTGGAGCAAAGGCTGAGCCTTAACTGGAAATGCAGCCCAGAGCTGCCTGTCCTCAGAGACCACACTCCCGGTCCTTGTTCCGACGGTCCCCGGGTCCAAGCCCGGCATCTGTCCCTGGGTCCAAGCCCAGCACATGCAGATGCCGGCATCCTAGCTGGAGCCTGTGACCTTTGCCCCTTTCTTCTACCTGCACCAAAGGACAGGGGCGCGCCTGCTCAGCGCGCGGGGCGGCAGGGAGAGCTCGACGCGAGGAGGCTTGGGGGGCACGGCACAGGGTGAGGCTCACGCTGCAGGCTGCCCTGGCGCTCAGACCGGGACCACGGGCTACCTGGGCAAAGGAGGGGCTGAGCCCTCACCCAGGGTGGCCCAGGAGGGGCAGGGCTGCTCTCACGCCGCGGTCTCAGAGCACGGGTTCCAAGAAGGCAGAGGAGGCTGGTCCGCCCACACGGGCAGCTTTCTGATGGAACGCACCGTGTTTCTTCCAGCGGGCAGGACAATTCTTCATTGTCCATGATGCCCTGAGCACTGCGGGATAAGTGCTGCACCGGTCCCCAGGCCCTAATCGCCAGGAGCACCTCACAGCCACTGTGGCCAGGGAGAACGCCCCGCAGGCTTCCCAGTGCTGCCTCGCGGGTCCTGAGCAGCCGCCCACCAGACCTCCGCCCACCAGACCACCGAGCAGGCAGCTCAGTGCTGGCCAGGCCAAGCCGCCCAGCTCACCCCACGCACAGACATTGGTCTGCTGGCAGTGCCCTCGGCTTTGCCTACAAAGGACAGTTGAGATGTACACACGCACACACACACACACACACACAAACACATATGCTCACATGCACACACGCTCACACATGCACAAACATGCACACGCATGCACACACATGCTCACACACACGCTCATACATGCACATATGCTCATATGCTCACACATGCACACATGCTCACACGCACACACTCACACATGCACACACATGCTCACGCACACACATGCGCACACACCTACATGCTCACAGATGGACACACGTGCTCACACACATGCATGCACACACATGCTCAATGCACACACACTCACACACACACACACACAAACACATATGCTCACATGCACACATGCTCACACATGCACAAACATGTGCACACGCATGCACACACATGCTCACATACACGCTCATACATGCACATATGCTCATGTGCTCACACACGCACACATGCTCACATGCACACACACATGCACACACATGCTCACACACACATGCGCACACACCTACATGCTCACAGACGGACACACATGCTCGCACATGTGCACACACCTACACGCTCACACACATGCACGCACACACATGCTCAATGCACACACACTCACACACACACACATACACACATGCTCACACACACACGCTCACACACGCACGCACCCTGTGGTCTAGCTATCTCAAGCTTCCTTGGGAAAGGCCAGCCTCAGGTGTATCGGAACACGCCAGAGGCTAGAACCCTGGGAGAGCCTGGGAGCAGAGCTGACCAGAGAGTCGCCTGTGGACACCTGGGGGGCTCCAGACAGACACGTTTCTGTACCCGGAACCACCCAGCGAGCCTCGCCAGGCCAGGCCCTGCTCTGCTCCCACTTCAGCTACTGACTGAGGTCTTGTAACCCATTTTATCTCCCTCTCCCTTCCTTTGTGGAGAAGTGGGGAACTCGGCCCACCTCTGAGTTCTCCCCAACCCTCCTCGACGTAAGCTCTCTTCCCACCGCCCCTGAGGTCGGGAAGTCCTTAGAGGCGAGGAGTCCAGTCCTGTAGGCAGCTAGTCCCCAGTAAGTAAAGCAACCTGGACCGGGGCCTCAAGCCCCTGAGCGCAGGCACCCCCCCACCTCCTCGGGGTGCACAGGGCAGGCCAGGGTGAGAAGCAGGTCTGTGTCCTGCCTGTCAGCCCATCCTGAGACCAAGCCTCGCCGGGCAGGTGGGGCTGGGCAAACCGGCTTCAGGTGGACACACCCGGCCCCTCCCGCCCAGACGCGCCCAGCAGAGCGTCACCGCAGAGGGCCTCTGTGAGAGCCAGCACAGGGCCATCTCGTGCGGTCCTCACCCTCCTGGCCTGGTGAGGGGCTCCTGAAGAACCCAGGCTGGAGACGCCTCGGGGACAGACCTCTCCTGCCATCTCACTGCACCTGCTCAGCACCCAGCCAGGGCCCCGCCCAGGGGAGCAGACAGACCATAGCCCACCATCCTCCAGGACAGCGGTCAGGACGGCACCACGGCCAGTCCAGGCGGCAGGGGGCCTTCCCACGTGACGCGCTGGCCCAGGGGTCTGGAGAGCACAGAGCTCCTCCCAGCAAGGGCTCCCCGGGGAACTCGGGGCCCAGGGCGTGGAGAGCTTCCCAGGGATGGGGTGACTGCTTACTCGGCAATTTGTGTCAGTGTGGGAACCACCAGCCTGAGTCACCAAAGGTGGGACCTGGGTGGGGGCGTGCCAGTCCCTGCCCCCTCCGGCATGCCACTCCCTCCCTGGCTGGGAGCAGGGGCCCACCCTGGGCTGGCCTCCCTTCCTTCCTGGGCATGGGGCTTGGTGCGGAGCGTGAAGGACAGACAGAGCAGGCCCTGGGCTCGGAGGCCCTGCCGTCTGGGCTGGAGGCAGCTGTGGTGGGTGCCCTGCCCTGCGGTCCCCCAGGCCGGGAGGAGCTGTCCCAGGAGTCCATCACCCGCACCCAGAGACAGCAGTGCCCGCTTGGGGGCCCTGGTTTGTGAACTGGATGCTGCTGGTGGGTGACTAGCTCACAGGCTGCAGGGGGCACCACGGAGATCTGAAATCGCTGATGCCAGCTGCCAGGCATCTTCCAGCCCCTGATTTGTTTAATGTGGATAAACTGATATTTTGATGTCCATTCTGGGAGCAGAGATCTCACCAGAGAGCTGGCTGACAATGGCTAGCGTCCCCTGTAACCCAGGATGGTGGGGTCAGGGTTCACAGAGACCAGTCAGTGGTGAGAACCATCGTGGTGACTCAGAGAGATCTTCTGAAGTATCGGGACCATGAAGCCCAAGCAGAAGAGCCTGCGGGGCTGCCTCAAGGCGCTGCTCTTTCCAAAGAGAGAAGTCGGGGCCCTGAAAAGTCTGCTGTCCTGCGCTCTGGGCCCACGTCTGCTCTCAGAACGGCAGGCATCAGGCCAACACGGCTCTGCTATTCCCGGTGATGGGGCAGGGGGCGAGGCCAGTACACTTGGTCACCCTGCACCTTGAGAGCTGGCCTCCCCGACATGTGATGTCCGAAGAAACAACAGTGCGAGCTCCAGCTCCAGCACCCAGCTCAGGTACTCAGCTGAAGCACCCAGCTCCAACACCAAGCTCAGGTACTCAGCTGAAGCACCCAGCTCCAGCACCCAGCTCCAGCACCCAGCTCAGGTACTGAGTTCCAGCATCCAGCTCCAACACTCAGCTCGGGTACTCAGCTCCAGCACCCA